TGTCCAGCTTCCTCCAGGTGTGCTACAACCAATCCTGTAAAAGGTCATATGCTCCCTTGACCACAATGATATATGCTATTGGCTTCTGTAATCGGCTTGCTTGAATGGGTGGTCTTGCGGTTTTTGGGTTTAAATTACTGTGCCTCCCCTTACGCGGGGCTCCTCTCTGTCTCTTGGACTCTGAGGGTGCTGCTGGGTACCAGCTAAAATAAAGCCCTACCTTCTTTTTGGACGTTGTGCCTCCTTGTCTTCTTCTTGGGTTACAACATTTGGGGGCTCGTCCGGGATCCCTAAAAGGCCTCATTTTCCTTCTCGCAATTGGTGAGTACCAAAATTTTGTCCAAATTGTTTTTTGGTTTTGCCGGCTTTAACGCAGGGGACTCAAGTCTCCATGTCCCTGGAGTGGTACACCCTCTAGGTAAAAGTTTGTTGCTCTTAGAGATTTGAGACTTAGGTTAAGGATTTGGATGTTGAAGTTTTCATGACTTCTTTTGTTCCTTTAACTTAGGTCATTTGTTAAAATTTTCATGACTTTTTGGTTATTGGATGATTTGAATTCGATTTAATAGGTTCAACTCACCGATTCTGTCTAAATTTCTTTATTTTTGGTTTCACTTTGTTTGCCCTTCTCCTACTTTTTGTGTTCTTGTGCGATATCGGCCTCCTCTCCTCCAGTATGGGCCAATCTTCTTCCTCTACCTTCACGCCCCTGTCCCTAGTCTTAGATCATTTCTATCTTTTTAAGGAACGAGCCAAGGGGTACAGCGATCCTGTCTACCCTGGTAAATTGAGGACTCTCTGTGAACTTGAGTGGCCTGCACTATCTAATAGTTCCTGGCCCCCAGAGGGCACCTTTAATTTCTCTCTTGCCCAGACCCTCTGGCAGGTCACCTTTGGTCCACCGAGTCATCCGAATCAATACACCTACATATAAGTCTGGATTGACCTCATCCAGGATCCACCCACCTGTATCAAGAAATTTATCAAGGCTGTAATCCACCACCCTACAGCCACCCCCCCCCCTTCTTCTTGGTCCCCTTAGCTCCTCCAAAGAAGGACTCTGAGTTGGCACCCTCCACCATCTGTTGCTGACCCCCTGAAATGACTCAAGGTTTGATGTTCTGGACACCATTCCCAGACAACTGGCTAATTCCACCTGGTTGCACTGGCAGTTCCAACTGATAAGAAGCAGCTGTGATTCCCAACCATCACCCTCAGACTCTGCTTGTTCTACCTGCCAGCCGGTACACAGATAAATTCATTATGCAAAATATTGGTCAAAATGTGTTGGTAAATTTAAGCTAAAACATAAAATTGTTATAAGGTTATGATATTTCTTTAATGGGTGTTAAATGTACTGGTATTTCTTGTTCAATTTTAGACAATAGCACTAGAGAGGATAAGGTTAATAAGCTTCCTATTGGATTTGATATAAACCTCTGTGAAATGGGATTTTTAGCCAGCTTGGACTTAGAAAACCTACATGCCTGTATATAAAAAAAACCACGGAACCCTTTTGCCAGTTAAATGACATTAGGTCAGCAACCATTCTTAAAGACTTGGAGGACAGGCTTCACTGGGATAGACTGGTTCTGATCACCCTCTACATGCTAGAGGGAATGTCAGGCCTGATCTGTTTCAGTTTCCTTGCTTTGACTTTATTCCTAATTTTCCTACCTCTTTGCACTTTCCTTTTTAAAGACATGTAAAAATTTAAAAAATTGTTGGATTCGTTTCTGGAGACATCTCTGTTTGTATGAGCTAAAAGAAACCAAGAATACCTAAGGGGTTAAGGTGCCATACCTGAAGGTTCCTTGATGGTAACTGGCTTCTGACAACTAAAAGCTTACATCTGCTTTATGTGTTAACTGAAAATAAGATGATAGCCAGCTGTATTGTGTTTTTACCAATATGCAAAATATGATGCTAAATGATAATAAGTTCCACCTGTGAGTTTCAAGGTTAAATTTTGTTGCCTGTCTTTTTATAGAAGTCAAGGCTTGTGTAATGATAATCTTGGACCTGGTTTTGGCTTCTGTAAAAAGATAGACAACATTAAAAGGTAAAGTTACATTTAAAAATAAGTGTCATATTGTTAATTTTAAAACAGCCAGTCTATCATGGTTTAGCTGTAACAGGAACTACCTGCTCCCACTGGAGCCCAAGCAGTCAGACTCCTGCTGGCCTAATATATATATATTCTAGTGTGTATTCTTAAAGGTCTAAAAAACTCAGACCAAACCTTCAGTTATTAAATTTCAGCTGTTTACCAGGAAAAAGATAACCACCCCTCTGATTTCTTAAAATGTTTAATGAAAAGCTGTTAAAGCATACTTCTTGAGATGCTAATTCAGTAGGGGGACAGATTACTCTTATAGTTAAGCTAATGACAGGCAGCTCCAGATATTAGAAAAGAGCTATAAAAGAGAGTTTTCTCCAGACAACTCACTTGATACTTTATAGGACACTAAGGAGAAAATGTTCTATAATCAGAACTGGGAAGAAACCAGGGAGAAAAAGCAAAGAGATCAAAAATGGCTGCCTTTGTTGCGGCCTCAAAACAGACCCTAAGTATGATTCTCTGGACTCCAAGAAGAGCTCAATGATGATGAGGTTCATCTGCTACTGCTGTCAGAAGCCAGGCCACTGTAAGAGGGACTGCCTTAAGAGGCCCACAAGCCATGCCCTGACTGCTAAGGCAGCCACTAGAAGTGAGACTGCACTCTGAGGCAGAGGTCCCAGAGCTCAGACTCAGCTTCCCAGATGGTCCAGCAGGATTGAAGGGCAGTGGGCCTGCTTCCTCCCTCTGGCCGGACTTTTACCTCTACCTGTCATCTCCATGGAGGAGCCCTGAGTAATCATGACTAAAGGAAAAAGCTAGCCCATTTCTGGACATTGGCACAGGTCTCTTTGTCTTCTCCAACCCTGGCCTTCATTCCAGTCATCGTCATCTTGTTTTAAGCTGTAATTGAAATATATTGTTCATGTACAGATAAAATCCTGTCAATGTAAAAAAGTTCTAGAGACACTGGCTACACAGTGTCAAAGAGCTTTGGGCCTATAAGTAGAGCCAGGCCTTGTCTTTAGAACATAAAACTCAGAGCCAGTGTTAAAAAGATAAATCCTTCTATAGTGCCCCTTGATTACAGTAGGGGCCATATCCAAAACTGAATGAGACATTGGTTTAATCTGACTGAATACTGTGTATTTTGTGATAAGTTTATTAAGTTAGCCTGGTTGATTTCTGATGTAACTCAGGCATTTCATGCTGTCAGTAAACACAAGTGAAACTAGGCAAATATGCCAAACTGTACTTAAAATTACGTAAAAGGATTGACAGTAAAAATAAGGTATTAATCTGGTTTTCCATATGTTCTCAAAATTTAGAGATAATTATAAGTATAGCTAGAGAGATTTATAACAAACTGTCAGACTCCATGAATAAAGGGGTCTAAGAGTGAGTAAGTTATGATTGCTATGTCTCAAAAAGGTTTATAAATGTACCTGTTAGCTCAAATGTTCATGCTTTGTTTATATGTGTTCTAATCGCTCAGAAAATTTGTTCTGTCCTAGAAGATACTAAAACCCAGGTAATCATGCAGGAAAAATCTGTTAACAAATATGCTAGATTACAATTCCTTTTGCTGGGATCCACCAGATTTTGTCTATAGAAACATGTATTAAAGCCTAATATAACTGTCCACCTGATAGGGCCCAGGTGATCTGAGCCTTCTCTGGGTTTCCTGCCTCATTACGAGGAAAGCTATATTCGTGTTCCTTGGGCAAGAGAACCTACAGGAACCAAGAAGTTGTACCTTATGCAGTGGACCCCAGATATTTGACACAAGCTGCAGAAGTAAGAAGGTTTTGCAGGAATGAATTTGTCTGAGCTGAGGTGTTTCATAGTAGAAAGGATACAGAATGGAATTACAGAAGGAAAATGAGAGTGTTGATACTAGTAGCCTACAGGAAAGAAGGTAAATGTCCACAGCTGCTAGAGAAGGAAGAAGAAAGTGTTTATGATGGAGTCAGAGGAAGTTGAGATTGAGGTGGTCATGTGTCTTCCCTCTCAGTCTGAGGGAAGCCATGTTAACTGCCAATATATATATAAAAGCCTGTTAAACTTTTAATAGATGCTTATGCAGATTTGTCAGTAGTTACCCAGCCAGTGGCCCACTTGCAAATTAAAAAATACTCAGTGTTTTCCCTACGCCCAGTAATTCATGTTCCCCAGTAATAAAAGGAAAGGCCAGTTTGTTTGAGACAGTACCCAGTGGACATAAAAGATAAAGAAATTAAACCTCACACTTAAGAGATCTCTGTTACTAGACCTACAAAATATTCTAACTAGTGTTTTTACAATTACAAACTTCAAAAGGTTATTACATTCCAGATCTGGTAAGTGATTACTGTATCCTGTTGACATTATTATTTGTTTGTTTCTTTGGCTCTGCCTCCTCCAGATTTAAAGCCATTCTGCCTACCCAAGATAAAAATTGCCTGGTATCTATTGAGGGCCTTTAGGTAAAACCTCTAGAGAGTGTCCCTGACTGCTAGTCAACAACTGCGACCCATTCCAGCATGAAGTAGCCAGAGCGGTCATCGCCCATACACCCTCATGGCAGTCCGGGTTACTTCTTCAGAGAAAAAATGTTGCAGGCAGTTGAGTTAGATTAAAAATATTATAGGCAGTCAGACAGGGCTAGGCCCTCAAGGAGACAAGGTTAAAGACAAGGTGACTTTACAGTTTGAGAAAGGCGGATGCTGCCCACTGTGGGCCAGCCCTCAAGACAAAAAGAGAAAACTCCCTGGCTGATATTACAGCCCAAGAGGTGGCACAAAAAACAGTGGGGATACGGGAGATATTGCCTATTCTAGAGTTCTATAACCCCACTTATTCAGACTCTGTTGTTAACTAGTGTTCCTTGCTGTTGGAATAGATTGACAATGGTGACCCACGACAAAATAATTTAATATAACATCGCCTACAAGTTTCTGACGAGTCAATGATTTGACTTGGCCACAAAAACCAGTGGGGAATGTTATAATCTGACCAAAGCGCCGCCATCCTGTTCTGTATGTGCCGTCTTAGTAGACCATGTCAGCTGCTGTAAAATGTGACTTCTGTTTCTTAAGCCCACTCCCTTCAGGGTATGTTATACCCTGACATCAGTAACTCCATCTTGGCTCTCTGATTCATCCTTGCCCTAGTTAATTACAATGACTCCATCTTGGTTCTCTGATTCACCCCTGCCCTGGTTCTGAGAATGTCTTAAGGCAAAAACAGGTATTCCTGGCAACCGTTCAACCACATTGTCCTTATAAGGTCAGCATACCAAGATTACACACCCTGTTCTGTACTCCACCTAGTCCAAAAGGGGTAACTTCTCTGTGTCCAGCTTCCTCCAGGTGTGCTACAACCAATCCTGTAAAAGGTCATATGCTCCCTTGACCACAATGATATATGCTATTGGCTTCTGTAATCGGCTTGCTTGAATGGGTGGTCTTGCAGTTTTTGGGTTTAAATTACTTGCCTCCCCTTACTTGGGGCTCCTCTCTGTCTCTTGGACTCTGAGGGTGCCACTGGGTACCAGCTAAAATAAAGCGCTACCTTCTTTTTGGACATTGTGCCTCTTTGTCTCCTTCTTGGGTTACAACAGAGTTCTCTTTAAGTAATGAGATGTGCTACCTTGATGGGAAGAGTGAAGAGGGAAGTGAACTGTCTTTATTATTCTCTTCAGTACATCTAATTTTAGATTTCTATTAATTTCTGCTTCATGTGGTACAGGTTTCACAAGCTTCCATTTTCTCTATGGAAAATCTCTTTCCACAGAGATTCTATGAGATGATATTTTTTAGAGCTCTAACACATAGTACCACTCAAGAAATACTAGTCATTATTATAGGAAGGTTCATTATGACAGTCTAGCTTCTAGGCCTTCACAAATATCTGAAGTGCCTTACCATATCCATAAGACCATTCAGTAGCTAACATAAAACTCTGGATTGGGATTCAGAAATAATAGTTATTACAATTTTTTTATTTGGGAACACTCTCTGGTACATTATCTCTTTGAAACTTGAGAAGCCATAAAGTCTGTCTGTTAAGAACTAAGTAAATTCTCCCTCTTTGTAGCACATCAGTGATTAGTTCTACTAGATTTTGCAATGTCACAAATTGGACACTTAAAATGTAGAAGCAACTCCCAAGGAAATCCAGACTGTGGTAAGTGATGAATAAAAATGAGCATACTTGGGCTGCGGATGTAGCTCAGTAGTAGAATGCTTGCTGAGCATATGTAAGGTCCCAGATTTAATCAGCAGCACCACAAGGGGGAAAAAAATGAATGGTCTTTGTTCATAATATCTCCATTTTATCAGCATGACTGGTAAGAAAAACTGCACTGAATATTTGCCTTCTAATTGACTCCTGTGTTAGAAAACATACCTCCTGTGTATTGTGCTGTATGACTATTCAGGAAAAAAAGGTTTTAAGGAAAAGGATTTGTTTTGGAAAGGGCCACTTCCTTGGCAAGCTTCCTTGCTTAGTCTACTGTTACTGAGCTGAACTTTCCCCAAGGCATTAATTACCTAGAAATGACCACCTGGAGGTTGGGTGGAGCCCTCCTTGTCTAGCAGCTCAGGTTACACAGTTCTGTGATGAAAACTTCACCATCTGGGATAAGTGCCAGCAGCCAGCAGCAGCAGCAGTAGCAGCAGCAAGGTAATGGGATCAAATCGTTCCCCTTACACTTTAACCTGTCTGGGCAAGACAAAGCTTCAGCAAGGAGAAAGCATCATTACATTTAATTTAGACTTCTGGAGTTCAGAATTTTGTTTTTTTTCATCAATAAAATAAATGTTTAAATTTAAAGCTATTTTCAGGGACAGAAGCAGGAAAGCATTGACTTACTAGTCTTTAGATAATGTTAGTTTCTTGCCAGTGCATACATTTCTAATAAAGAAGGAAAAATTAATATGGTGAGTGTTGCCTACTTCCCATTTAAAAGATATATCTGGGCCTACATGTCCAGTGATCTTACACATATAAGCTTAACTTTTTTGGATGTCTGCAATATTTGTCTTTCAGCTTGTGAATAATATTGCTATTATGCTGAGCCTGAATTATAGGTTTGGATTTGCTAAGCAGAAGATATTGTCTTCACTAAATGACTTTTTAAAGAGTTTCCTAATGAGCAGTGGTGTTCAATATGTTGGGAGCCGAGAGCACAACATGTATCAAAGTGCTGGCTATTAAAATAGGTTTCTTTAATTAAATGGAATTAAATTATCTTTAAAGGAGTCATTTAACTTTATCAAATAAACAAATTACAATAATGTGGAGGAGGAGTCGGACTCATTGTAGGTGGTAAAGAAGCAACTGGAGAGATCAATTAAGATTTCTAATTTTCCTTCCTTCTCTACCTTACCTCATCTAATTCATTTGCTTCTTGGGTAACAGCAGCATAGATCTCTTGACTTCATCATGACATAGGCTCCTACTCAGGCTCCAAGATGCTTTGTCACTTTTGATTTCACTAACCCAAGTCACTCTAATAATTTGAACCTGTGCATCAGCATTCCAGGTGAAGGAAGGTAAATATTTTTTCTTTAAACATGTGTTCTCTGTACTTTGTGTTTTGATAGTTGTGTAAATTGACATTGCATAAGGAAAAAATAAAAGAGAAGATGAAATAAAAAGAGAGCCAATAGTGGTGACAAGTAAAATGCACATGTTGTATAGTCTACTATTATCTAAGTCTGTGGAAGTTTCCTTCTAAAGTGCACAACATTTATTTCTACAGGACTTATTGACTATAAATGATGAGCGACTATAAGCCTTGTTAGAATGTTTAATTGCCTGCTGGTACATACACTATCACTGTGGTTAAAAGAAGAGTGGTGCTGCATGATAATAAGGTATTCAAATAAGATCCTTTCTTTTGTGGTCTAGGCATTTCTGTATTGTCGTGAAACTACCAACCTAATAAAAATGAATACCAGTCAGAAAAGATCTGTATACAAAACAACTCAACTAAATATTATTGAGCAATGGGAGAAAGTAATGCAATTTATTATTCTTATTTTGTTATTAAAATACCTTTTCTTGGTCTCATTGAACACTTCAGTAGGTGAGGGGTTTCTTGTGTGTCATCTTCATTAGCACAGCCAGGCCTATACACAAGCAACCATGTTGGAGGAACCTGCAGGTGACATTGATCTTGGCACCACCTACTGCTGTGTGGGTGTCTTCCAGCACGGAAAATGGAGATAATTGCCAATGATCAGGGAAATCATGACTCCAAGCCATGTCGCTTTCACTGACACCGAACGACTGATTGGAGATGCTGCAAAAAATCAAGTGACTATGAATCCCACCAACGCAGTATCTGATGCTAAGTATCTGATTGGACATAGATTTGATGATGCTGTGGTTCATTCTGATATGAAGTACTGGCCCTGCATGGTGGTGAATGATGTAGGCAGGCCCACAGTTCAAGTAGAATACAGAGAAGAGACAAAGAGCTACTACTCAGAGGAGGTGTCTTCTAAGGTGCTGACAAAGATGAAGGAGATAGCATAAGCTTATCTAGGGAAGATTGTTACCAATTCTGGGGTCACTGTGCCAGCTTACTTTAATGACTCTGAGCATCAGGCAACCAAAGATGCTGGAACTATTGCTGGTCATAATGTACTCAGAATTATCAACAAACCAACAGTTGCTGCTATTGCTTATGGCTTAGACAAAAAGGTTGGAGCTGAAAGAAATGTGCTGACTTCTGATTTAAGAGGTGGCACTTTTGATGTGTCAGTCTTCACTACTGAAGATGGGATCTTTGAAGTGAAATCTATAGCTGGAGACACTCATTTAGGTGGGGAAGATTTTGACAACTGAATGGTCAATCATTTTATTGCTGAATTCAAGTGCAAGCACAAGAAGGACATCAGTGAGAACAAAAGATCTGTCTGGGACAGGCCAAATAGCTCATCAGATTAAAGTGCCTGCAAGCAGGAGCAGGAGCCAGGCCTGCTGTGCCAGCCTTGCCCTTGGGGCGTAGTGAGACAGCAATTGATACTGGGTGTGGTGGCGCACACCTATAATCCCAGCTCATGGGAGTCTTTAAATAGGTGGATCACCATGAATCTGATTTAGTAGTGAGACCCTAAACACCCCGTAGACACTTCCCTAATAAAAAAAAAAAAAAAAATCTGCCCACTATCTTTGTACTGTATGTGAGTGATCTAAGAGAACTCTTTCTTCCAGCACCCAAGCCAGTACTGAGATTGATTCCCTCTATGAAGGAATCGACTTCTACACTTCCATTACTCATGCTCAATTGAAGAGTTGAATGCTGACCTGTTCCATGGCACTTTGGACCCTCTGGAGAAACCTCTTCAAGATGCTAAACTGGACAAGTCTCAAGATCCATAATATTTCCTGGTGGGTGGTTTTAGCCATATTCCCAAGATTCAGAAGTTTCTGCAGGACTTCTTCAATGGAAAACAACTGAATAAGAACATCAACCCTGATGAGGCTGTTGCTTATGGTGTAGCTGTTCAGTGAGCCATTTTATCTAGAGACAAGTAAAAAATGTCCAAGATTTGCTGCTGTTGGATGTCACTCCTCTCTCTCTCTCTCTCTCTCTCTCCTCTCTCTCTCTCTCTCTCTCTCTCTCTGTATTGAAACTGCTGGTGGTATCACGACATTTCTCATCAAGCACAATATCACCATTCCTACCAAGCAGACCCAGACCTTCACTACCTACTTTGACAACCAGCCTGGTGTGCTCATTCAGGTATATGAAAGTGAGCATGCCATGACCAAGAATAACGACCTGATTGGCAAGTTTGAACTCACAGGCATACTTCCTGCACTCCATGGTGTTCCTTAAATTGAAGTAACTTTTTATATTGATACCAATCGCATCTTCAATGTTTCTGCAGTTGATAAAAGTACAGGAAAAGAGAACAATATTACCATAAGATATAGAACATATGGTCCAGGAAGCAGAGAAGTACAAAGCTGAAGATGAGAAGCAAAGGGACAAAGTGTCCTCCAAGATATCATTGGAGTCCTACG